TGGTGCTACGAATGGCGAGACTCACTGAAGATGCCGACTACGATGCCGGCGAAACGTTTGGGAATGTACCACATCCACGGTCCTACTCTGGAAATGATGATACATATAATGGACTCCGGACTAGGTGCGTTCTTTTATGTCTTCCTACCAATATGACCGAGTTGTGAAAACAAGGTCAAATAACTTCTAAGAATTATTTATGCTTGATTAGAAAATGAACGAGAGGCATTTAAGCCGCCGTCTAAAAAGAAGACGATTTAATTTGTCAGCTGAGTGATTGTTCTAAATTCACACCCATTTAACAGGAAGGTCGAGCTCATCAACCAAAACAGATGGTCAGGACTACGTAATCCCAACAATTAAGCCTTGGTGACACGGGAATGATGTTAAGCTTATTCCTAATTTATCTGAGTTATTGCCAATTCTGCGTACCGACATCAACATACATCAACCGAGGCACACTCGAATTAACAAAACCTTTATATATCCACCTCAATCTAAACGTTTTATTCGAATGAGTACTTATGTCATAGAGGAAAAAACCGATCAGTCTTCTTGACTTGGTGTTAAATTGAGGCCTTTGAAAGAATGAGTTCCAGCTCTGCCTATATTTGTCATAAGAAGAACGAAAGCTCAGGTTGTCTTTGCCTGAAACGTTAAAGGATATCTCGTATACTGAATCACCATAAATGTCGTATTAAGGCCAAAAGGCTGCAGTACAAAGCGAATCAGCCGGCGAATTCTAGTAAGATTGACATACAAATCCTTTCATCATGTACCTCCACACAAAATGAAAGTCTTTCAAACAATATTCTTATATCTATCACTAATATGGATTGGCTGCCAAAATGAAAAATCAGATCCAGTTGCTGGTAAACCTAACGTTTAAATTTGCATGAATCTATGTTAAAGATTATAAACACTATTGCAAAACCAACCTAATCCTAAAAATAAATAGATAATTTTAGGAGATAAAGGCAAAATCTTAAAATTAATCAGGGATAAAAATATAAAAATAAGACAGAAAATAGATGGTACAATAAATATTAAAAGCGATGATATAGGACAAGGTAAATGACAGGATGTGCGAAACAAATGTATTCTTCTCAAGAACTTACAAGGCCAGATGGACGACTGGATGATGTAAACGGTAGTGATGCAGCAGCCAGTCTCGAGCTCTCTACACTGACATCCCTAGTGTGTGTGGAATCGACCCACCAAGTCACATCGACGGCGACATCGTTAGGTATGCCTTCGCCGACCTGGGTAACAGACGGTAAAGCCATGGGTGAATTAGCAACAGTTCGTTTTAAGGCAGAAATGCAGTGAGTTTGTTCCTTGGAGAGCATAGTTGTAGAGGCAGCAGGAGTAGTTCCAGTCACTAGCGGGCTGGTCGGAGGGTACAGCAGTAGAGGAGCAATGCATGCCGTAATCGAGGAGTTAGTTGATATACCAGAAGTCGGATTGATCAAAGGCAAGTGAGCAGATTCAAGAAGTAAGGATACTCCCGACCCGTTCGAAGTTACACCTGTCTGATTGGGAAAAGCTGAGCGAAAAGGAAGTTGTGTGGCCTGAGACGAAGGTGATACTAATGTTGAAGAAGGGCAAGGAGATTGTGAAGGAGAGAGAGAAGGAGAAGAGGAGGGAGAAATAGAGGCTGGGCACGGTGAAGGACATGGAGAAAGTGAGTCCGATGGTGATGGAGAAATTGGACAACAGGTATGCGTAATAGCTGAGGAATTCTGAGAAGAGGACACTGAGGTAACTGATGCAGAATGTGAAAGCAAGGAAACAGAGGCGGAGATAGTTGAAGAGGAGGGCGAGGAACGACGTGCAAGAACGGGCGAAGCATCTAAGGCATGACCACCTCCAAAGCAAGCTGTTAGAGCGGCCCGACGCTGGCGCTCGCTTAACTGGCGGATCAGAGGTTTCTCGATCGACCTATAGGAGGTTAGATAAGATAATATAATGAGGATAAAAATACGGACAAAATGGAGATATAAAAGTAAAAATCGAGAATTGTGAGAATTAAAGAATGTATGCATATTTCTGTGATGTTTTTAGCATTACAGGATCCACGAACCTTCCAATAATTTACATTATAACGTCACTCTCAGATATAAGGTTTGCTAGATAGCGGCATTTTCAAGCCCTCTTACTCTCTAATACTATAGTACTAGCTAGATTATCACTTTAAATGAGTAATATGAGCAGATATTCAAATAACGAATGTTAAAAGGTCTATCGTCCTTCCTGTGCCATAATGAAAATATCGAAGTTAAAAAAAAGAGAATTTAATTAAATATAAGACTCTGGTCAGATCGCACCCGTATAAAGAAAGAAACAAAATAATTTGAGGAGTCTTGATTGAAAGGTGGTCATGCCTTTAATTGATAACCATGTGGAAATAACACCCAAGAATAAGAAAGTTAAAAGTATCATAAGTAAACTAAATAACAAGAACCAAATGGTGTTGAGGGAAGACAAAATAAGAGCAGTGGTAGTTATGGACAGATTAAGCTATATATAAAAAATGATGTAGGCTTTGGATGACAATACCACATATAAGGTAATCAGTAGAGACCATATAGAAACCCTTAAGTCTAGACTCAGGGGCTGCCTGCAGCATCGTGTAACAAATGAGTAACTATATAAATAGAAGAGGAAAGCGCTTCTTCAGCGAGACGCTAGGCCTCTGAATACATATGGTCCTCACAAAATGCATAAAGATGGAGCACCACTTAGAATTAGTGAATAATAAGGGAAGCGTAATGCATTAAACATCACGATCTATTTATAAACAGTTAAAGCAAATCTCCGAGACATAGAGGGTTTCAGTGAATAATCCGTATGAATTCGTTAACTTAGGTGACGAGCAGGAGATAGAAAGTGAAGATTTGCTGGTAGGTTTTGACAGAAAGGATCTGGATCAGGAATTGAGAGACTGGTTGACAATTGTTTCAGAATATGGTTTTGACTATCAAACCACACTCATTTCAAAAGCAATGCATTCACACAATGACATCGTCTACAAAACTGTGAGTGCCAAAACCTACCAGCAAATCCCCATTTCATATCTTCTGCTCGTAGACCAAGTTACCGAATATAATAATAGCCTGCCACGAAAGCCCCATTCACCCTGAAACTCACTGGCATCCAGAAGATGTTAGAATGAAGAGTCCTACTAAACACGCATGACTTAAATTCGAATTCCGGAATTATAAAGTTAATTGGGAGGCAGGGTAGTATATTTATTTCATTGTGAAAAAATTAACACTGAAAGCCAACAAAGGTGGCAAAAAGTTTAATGCAAGCACTACCTGGAAAGAGAGAATGTATGGAATAACAAAAAATTAAAATCATCACAACCGCTCAGGAGTAACAGTTTGAATTCGTCTTCTTAACTTGAAAGGAGCGAGAGATAGACCTGCAAATCGCAGCTGGTGCTGCACCCACTACCATTGAATTAACAATAAGTTCCAACATTGGAACGTTACCTTGGCACATTCCCTACATCCTTAAGAGGCGCCAATCTTGACACAAAGTTTAAGCTTATCAAAGTAAAAAGTTTAGGCAAATCCCCAACCAATTGTCTGACCTTTATTGCACCTCTTATCCCTCTCTTCTAGCTCCTAGCACTGCATCTCTATCTCTTAATCCCACTTCATAAATACGCATCTAGGAACAAATATTTGGTATGCCTATGGCTTCACAACTTTGGCCTCTGTTAGCTAAGGTCTACAATAAAAAGATGGACGGGAATTTTAAAATGGCACCTCAGTAGCTAACACCAATTATGCGATGCTTGGAATACTACTTCGCCTTCTGTCCACATAGAACAGTAAAATTGAACAGATTCATGATCTCTTTAAACGATATTGTAAAAAAAGTCAGATTTACAGAGAAGGGGGATAACGAAAAATTACCTTTCTTAAATGTGGAGGCCATTCGCGCCCTGACTACTAAGAAAAGGCTGTTCAGAAAAAATTACATGCAAGAAGAAGCCTTAATTTTCAGTCTCAACACAAATACAGACTAGAGATTGATAGATTTAGGAGATGCTCATAAGTAGACTAAGATCAAAGAATATCGATTTCTGGAAGGATTAACTCAGTAAGCCAACTGAAAGATGTCTTGTAAATAGATATCTAAAAGAGACACTATAATTAAACATATAGATCCTGATGAGGAGATGGCAGGATCGTGATTATGAAGAGAAAACAAGGGAGATGAGGGGAAAATGATTGATGTCTAATCTCCTGCGAATTTGCCATGATGCTGCGGCTGCTGCTAATTCAATGAAACTTTCGTAATATCCTGAAGGCAAGGACAATACTGTTTATCAGCTTATCGATATAAAAACAAAAATTTGCCAAATCTGAGTGTTCTGGAGTCTACAACATAAACTGCAAGATTATATACAATAGTACATTGGAAAGATGGGAAGGATAATCAGCAAAAGGGTTAATTAACACCAGCAACTCTGTATAGCAATGGATATGGAAAGATTGGAGAAAGCCGAATACATTGCTCTGACTAGACACATAATAGACTGGAATGCAGAGGAAAGACGGGCCTCATATAGGGAAAATGAAAGATCAGGGAAGACGTGGGCATCCTCTTTCAAGGAAACCTAATTAAAAGATTGGAAGAAAGAAGAGTTAGTAAGTATTTCACATATTGCTTCGACAGACATGAAGATCGAGCCAAGACAAGTAAAAGAAGACTATTTGACCAAGGATGCCTCTTAGACAATAGTGGAGCAAAGTCACAAAATAATGACTAGGTTAATGAACCTATTAAATGAGGTTAAGAGATATGGATGCAGCGCTATAAGCCAGGAGAGATACCCCAACGATGGACGAGAAGATTTTTCAACGTGATTATCTTTCTTTGTCCCTTTGATAAGTTGTAAATCTGTGGTAAGAATGGTGCCTCGCATTGATGCCGACGAAATGTCTGGTAATGTACCAAGTTAACCATGAGAAGCAGGAAAATATAATGAAATCTATGGAAGAGGACGAAGGACCAAGCACATTTCACAAAATCGATCTGTCGCTCCGAATAAGTTGTAAAAACGAAGTCAAACCAACAAATACGGCTAAAGGAGACCGAGGCCAAACGTAAGGCTATACCATTTTGATCTTCCTATACATAACTATGCTGTAGCCTAATCAGAATTAAATGGTGCAAACTTGATTGCCACCTTGTAGAGATGGAGAAGTTACAGCTAAATATGTGGAGACCAAACGCTCGATGAAGTTTTAATGCAAAAATCACTGGGGAATGTAGGGTCGAACTAGACGGGTTTTATTAATGATTACTGTGTACATTTATTGTAATGTTGGTAGCGTTAGGGGACCGATGTAAGAATAGTGTCTTGGCCAAATGCGTAGAATTGTTATAGCCATACCCACAAAACACATGACTATAGATCATAATCAGTGAGCCACTAAACCAAGTAATCTTTGCAAGAGATAAGCAAGGAACAAAACCGATGAAGATATTTCTCTATAAACCGGCCAGTTTGGTATAAGATCTTGAATAATTAGTTACGATTACGACACTTAAAGATAAATCTGTACTTAAATCCATCATCTGCGACAGTTATATTAATACCATTCCAAGAAATTATTTCCAATGATATAAGATCACATTTAAGTATGTTATCAGGCTAAGTGCGCAAACGCGATCATGACGCCAGACTCTGACTGGCATCTGAGTTACCATTAATTGCCCTCCTATTATCGCCTGAATTAATAACAATGCCAGAGAGGATGAAGAGATCTCGTTGATCTAAAGAGGAATCAAGTGCAAAATAAATAGTCATAATAAGAACGTTGGATTGACCAAAACTAAATTCTCTTCCAAGAAGCCCCTGAATCCCCTGATTTATAAGTTTAAACGAACAAACAAT